CTTACTATGCTATACGTATATGGCCTTCAATATAACTCCCAACCAAACACTTCCATTTAAATTATTTAAATACATTAGGCAACTACGATTTTAAATATCACAGGTTGTAAGCAGCTGACGAGAACCTACGAAATAAAATGAATTCATGCTATTCTGCTAGAGTCTTTGTTCTTGCTCTTTTCATTATAAATATAACTCCGAAATAGTGGAGTTCTCGTGATGTGAATACCTAATCTGTGAGGTTTTACGTGAAAGTCAAATAATTGTTTATCATTTCTGGAGGACGTTTTTTGGCTGAGGATGGAATAGTGGATTTTTTATGAAAGGGCATAAGTTACAAAATGACTACATATACATAGCAGGACCATGCCACCTCAATCCTGTGTTCTCGTGTTCACCATTTTAGATTTTCACCAAGTGTTGCATGTTGAATTTACATCTTTTCAGTATCTATATGCTCAGCTTCAGAGATCATGTAGTCACGATCCAATAACATTATAAGGTAACAACAAGAAGGCTTATCAAACTCACCTTGGCATTAGTTGAATCTGATCAATTTCTCGCGGTACAAAACGCAAAATACAAATTCCCTTGCATCAGCTCTGTCCTTTGCATGTTTCATAAATTACCCCAGTTTTCGTCACGGCACAACCAGTAACTAGTTCCGACCTCTCTTATAATCATTTCCGTTTTCTGTCAGTTTCGTCTTTTCCCACGGTCTGCAATACCAATTAACTAACTTTTAAATTTTTTCTTCAGACAACCGTCTTCTCTTACCGTTCAACTTATCACTTTATAATTTTCACGTTCCAACCAATCACCAGCTGAAATTACTTGGTGGTTGCTGAACAATAGCTGCCGTTATGAAAAAAAACTAGAAACTAAAATTCAATTGTTCAACGTCGCTTATGCGTAGATAACTAATCAACATGTTTATCTTATGACCGATGATGTAGTAAGACGTTTGACTTCGTAATGTTATATGAAGGATATATTTACACACTGAGGCAACACTAAATGTTATGAAAATCTCTACAGTAATAACTGAAAGCATTTGATTGAGTGACAACTGTCATCCCTGATCTCACCGTTGTGAATAAATTTGTTCTACTGATATTTTGAGTTTGATTGTCCATAAATTGTATCGCGGACACTTCTGGTTTCAGTCTGAATCTGGTTTGTTATTTTGGAAGCATTCCTGAGTTGATTACTTGCAGTTTACGAACAAATTTGGCACCTTCAGTTGATCTTCGTACTTTTGTTAGCTGGGTCTTAAGCTACAAGTGCTTCAGTGGTGGATCATAGCAACACTTGGATGATACAAGAAACAAACTTTTCAAATGTTTAAAATATTTGACTATCATGTTATAAAAGTTAATTTACATCATGACGAATATTGACAGTCTCTCAATAGGCTCACAGTTCATATTCGGGAGTAGGAACGATTTGATTAGCCGGCTAGAGACTGACGAGGCTGAATATGTCTTGCGCATAATGTAAACATTGCTGTCACTCGAGGTGACATGGCTTTTCATAGTTGATTACGAATCTATATGCTAACTTCTATTGATAGAAGAGTGTATATTTTCGAATCCTTGTAAGATACCACTTTGTCATTCGGTGAGGTCATGAAGATATTGGTAGAAAGTAACAGTTTCTAAGGCATTTGAAATATAGCAGCAGAAATAACTGCAGCAGACGATCAAGGTTCTTGATGACTCTTGAGATCATGACCATTACATACTTCAACCTTCACGGAGTTTTTAAGATAAACACGCCATATTTGTATGCACGGTAAAGTATGTTTTGATAGAAAACTTTCAACGTTCTTTGGAGCTTACTAATCACATTACAAGCTGAACTTTTCACGTGTAAGTCGTTGCAGAATCCTTCACACTACTTCATCTAGTAGGTGCATAGAATGTACGACCAGCTCGTCGTAAATCTGAAGACGCTTCGAGAACGTTTTTGAAGAGACTTTGCTTTAAGCGTAGCGAGATAAATCACATCATGATGACCATTACCACGACCTTAAACGTTCTAGATTTTTAACGCACTGAAACTGAATGTATCACGCACTAAAACCTTTATACACTTTTACGTAATAAATGACGTTCTACTTGCATATCGTATTCTGAAAGGAAGAGGTATGATGTAACTTGAAATAAGAGACAGTATCCTACAGACACTGTATATTACAGATATGAATTACAATAGCAGTAGTAATTTTGGATAATGACGTCAATCCCGTCAGACTACAAATGCTAATCGAAAAAATAAACCAGAATGCTGAATAGACTAGAGCTCGTTTGTTCCATAATGAGTTTATAGAACTAAATTCACTCAATCAAGAAGAGCTGATTTTGTTTCTACGATTTTTTTGGCATTTATTGTTTTATTCATTTAAAATTTGTTATTCATGAATTTCAATGATCTGTGTCGATTGTTATGGTTACTTGATTTGGACAGGAATGCTGAGGCCTCCTGACTAACGCCGAAAACACATCTAGTGGTAAATACTTAGCATAGATTAGTCTTTTCTGACAGTCAGGTGAGTCATCTACTGTGATGACTGGGTAGAATAGATAGTATTACTGCTAGAACAAAATGTATCAGTAAGAACTTTGAATGCCTCAGTGTATGCGTGCAGTCGATTGGTGCAAATTAATCATCCTTGTCACTGAGGAGGCTCAATGAACTGTTCGACATACAGTGATATTATGGATGATTTAGCTACCGCTCAGTATCAGTTCACTGGCGTCCCAAGGTTTAGTAACTTATTCATACCTCTTCCAAACGTGCTGATAATCATAGAACATTGTATATTCCCTCATTTTCTGAATCATCTAAATTTGGTGCAGAATATGAGGACAAACCACTTGAAAAGTCATTAACAAGTACTTCTGATGCCAAAACCTACATGTAATTCGACATTGAATGTCATGTTTAGCGGTACTAAGTGCGTCAAGATTTTTCATTGTACTCTGGCGCCTGTTTCTAACCAGATGTAAGTCGACTGTGTTTTATGTAATTTCTTGTTATGTCAACTGACTCTCAAATTATGTTTTGGAGGGTTATCAGCTGTAACACTAGCATATTGTGATTTGTTTTTGGGAGTTGTGTTCGCAAAGATGTATTCGTTTGTCAAGTTATTCTACTTCGCCTGTTCTAGTTACGATAATGTTTACTGTTACTGTTTCAGACATAATTTTAATTCAAGAAATAATGGTGAATAATTTTCAGTAACTCACAAAGTGGTTCGGACTATGGTTTCTTTGTTAACCTGCCTTGTACTGTGTAATTTCCATTGATTAATTACGGAGTTGGTGATAGGACTACATTGTAGTTTTGAAAATGAGCCTTAGCGTAGGTTTCAATGATGTTTATCGTGGTATCTGGAATATATATGCCGAAGAGGGTCTCACATCTTTTAGCTATGCGGTAGGTGTTTTGAAGCGTAATACCATAGCTGTGGTGTTACAAATAATAACTAAAAGTATCTGGTCGCACGTATTAGGAGTAAAGATTAGTGCGGTTTATTTTTTATCATTATATGTGCATACCATTTCTGAACTATAACTAACTGTATGTTCCTGCTGTTACCACTGTCTAGTGAAAGACTTGCATTGTCTGTGATTTGGAAAAAATGAAAGATATGATTTATACACTGTTCATTCAAAGAGATGATAGTATCACTAGATTTTCATCGCGCTTACTAATCACTCTTTGGGTTTCGCATTCACAATCCATATGCATGACTGTTTCCCTCTGTAAAATAACTAACATATCAGAGCATAGTAAACTAGCTTGTAGCCCATTCTATCAGGAATAGTTTAGTTAACCCTTTAATGTTTACCTTCTGATTAAAGTCCCTAATGATTTCTAAAATTCGCAGTTATGGAGCTTTTGATATCATAGGTTTTGATATGTCTGTCATGACACCTCGTGAAACGTAATTGATTAACATTTTTCAATGTTACAAAAATGATTATGATAAATTGCTTGAAGCTGTTAAATTTTATGTCCGACTACGAATAATTTTAGTTTCCAGTGTATAAAGCCGTCACTATATGAGTTCGTGTAAGGTGATTTTTCATACTTATCATTGAAGCCTTAGATCGTATGAAGACTGATTTCAGTGATTTAAGTACTTCTTTCCCCATTGATATTGCTAATAGAGTGAAACCTTCAGGTTTTGAATTGAATGATTGTTTTCTCTGATTTTCTAATTTTTTGTTGACGTATCTCACGCGCTATCAGTTTTACTATTATCCGTCTTTTTGATCACCTTGTCAAGATGTCTTAAGTGCATTAAATCTTATTTTAATTATCTTAAACGTAGCTCAAAGCGGCAAAGTCACTCTTGGGTTTTGAAAAATATCTTCGATACACCACTCATCTTACTATTTTGATATGTTCACTGAATAACGCTTTTAATGTTCAACTTCCCGATGGATTAGGTTGTGTTCACTCTGCTCTAATCTTCTTATGCATTGTATGGTGGTTTAAAATAAGTTCAGTTTAGTCCATACATATTTGTGTCGGGTTCCATACTGAACATAACTGGTTGACTAGCTAATAACAGGAATAATTTCAGTTGTCGATAAACTTGAAATGTAACTTGTGAATCTTCTAATTTGATACTGTTCTTCATTCAATCAATTATGACTTGGAGTCCATCGATAATAACTTCTCGCTTTTAGCAGTAGTTTCTTAAAAACTATATAAAGATCTTGTAGATAGAATGCTTATTGTTTTGAAGCTGGTAGCTTTGAATTCAAAGATAAAATTATTTATAAAGCTGCATTGCCATTATGGTTATGATTAGTTTAATAATTTCTCACATTTTGTTCAGGATAATCTATAAATCGGTGCACAATCCGTGACAGGCACCTATAAATGACGTCAGATATCGCTAAACGTCAGAGAACTGTTCCATCAGCCAAAGCATTTGAATTTATCTGGAAAAGACCGGTTCCTGAAGTTTTGCAGACTGGGGAGCATTTTGATCGATATGATGAGGTAAATATCCACATCGAATTTCATCTGTTGTGATTTTGATTTAACTCATATACAAGATCCGCGTTTATGTATTTGGCCTTGAGCCTTTCTATGTGAGGGCTACTTATACTACCTGGTTGATCTTACTGCAATAATTGGAACGGGTTCAAACACCCTAATATTTGTTGAATTTTCAGTTATTTGACCACCAACCTATCACTCATAGGATGCTAGTGCTTTGTATCCCAAACTGATTTGCTTCTTACAGACCAAGTGAAAACTGAGTTACTATGTTAAAAGCGGTACTTCCAAGGTAGATGAAAAACGAGTTTTGATCAGTAATTCACTCAGGCTGTATTTATTATGTAAATAATGCCGGGCTTATATGCCAACATACAATTAATCTTCTATTTTAATGAAACTAGGTATGTTGAAAAGCTTTTTTCACTTAGGGGTAACTAAGCAGTGCAATTGGAAACGTTCATTAGTGCTCTGTTAAAAACCTAGTCTTAGATTAAACAATTACCAACTAGTATTTTGTTTTTTTACAAAATTTCAGAAATATTTAGGCAGTATTTTATATTTTATGACTGCTCGTTTACAAATTGCTTTGTTCAGAATGTCTATTTTTCTTCTACGTGTTTTATTCATACCAGTATTAGTAACTCCGGCCTTTATTACAATGTCATGTTATTACATGATTGCCAAAAGTTGAAGTGTTTTACCAGAGTACTTGTTATTTAACAATGTCAAAACTTGCTGCGGCTTTCCTATATTCAATTTACTAGGCCTTTCCGTGGACCAAGCAGATAAAAGTATCGAAATAGAAGTACGCATTCTTCTAAGATTCTCTACACTACAGTAGAAGCAGAAAAGAAAACCAACTAAAGCTGAAAGATATTTTAACAGCAAATAGGATGTATGTTCAGTAATTTTGCGAAAATAAAAAGTGAATACATCCGCCACATTGTGGTTGATTTTTAACCAAATCGCCTGGCGCTTTCGACCGCTTATTTTTGTTATCTCAATGACCTCAATGAAGTTTGTACTTCCCTATAATATCTAAATCAACAACCAATATCATTATGAGCTTGTCATTTTTAATGCTTTATAATTTTAGTCATATTTTAGTTGGTATCATTATTTTTATGTTGCAATATTAAACCTTTCTGCTATATATCCACCTGTAGCCTAGTCGTCGCAGTAATACTACTGTTTAAACACAACTCCTAGCTCTTGAAGATTTATGTGTGTATAAGTAATTTAAACATGTAAAAGGACTTCCCAATATTTTTCTTAGTTTGCTAGGTCTTATAGTCTGTGTAATAAAACAAATTTGATTTTACAGTCTTAAAGATGTGGGATTTGTTATCCGTGGATCAAAATTGTTAGGATTTATGGCTAGCTCTATTTCTTTTGAGACAATCTCTAGCTCTTACTAATGGATAATGGCGTGCGAATGTATCATTGTGACTTATATTATTACCAATCATTTCTTAGTTATTTCCACTTAAAACTAAACCATCGCCAATCTAGTTTTGTCGTTACGTTTTTACATTTTAGCTCAATGTTATCGGATAATAACAAATATTTTGTGGAAATCTCGTACTAGGGACATAGTAGATCTCATTGCATACAGTAATGCTTATGTGTAGTAACGCATTGCGTATTGTCGAGGTAAAACGACGAAGTTTTACAGATTTGTAAGTATAACAGACTATCATCCCATCCGTAAAATTTGACCGTATTTTGAAAGGATACGAATTTTACTAAATATTACAATTTGAGATCTCTGTCTGTTCATTTAACACCAGTTTAAAATTTAGTAGTTCTAGTTGGTTATGAATTTACGCTGTTTTTGAGCTACAACTATGGAATTGAAGTGTAGTTAGTAATTTGGAACTATATCTAGTGTGTTGATTTCTGTTCATTATGTTATTTTTGTATTCTGTGGTTATAAAGTTAAAAGGGATGTATAGTTGACTTTAAGTGTTCTGTTCTTTATTTATCTAGCTTTGTAGCCGGTAACTGAATTCGTATCCAACTTTTTTCAGGGAAGCTATGAACTAAGCGTAATATAAGCACCTAGTTTTCGAAATGTAATTGCTGAAGTATTTTTAGACTCGTAACTCAGCCAGTAAGTAAATATCTACTGGTTCACTCATTAATTTTTAGTCCGTCATGTACTAAACAAAACTACCGTGACCGATTAAGTTTCATAAACTTGTTCCTAACAAGATGTTGATGTCTTTGGTTTTCACTTTGATTAGCAGTGAACTCAAATAATTACATTGAAGTCATATGAACTTCCTGATTGCCTCAATGCAGTTAGTTGATATAAATTAGTTGTTAACCCTTGAAAAATTATCGAAAATCCCAATTAACTGAAATAAATGTATTAAATTAAAACTGTATCGCCAAAATTCCTTACGTTTGGATGACTTATAACCACAAGATGCAACTCGGTCAATACTGTAGTGTATAAATGTGTAAACATTATGTGATTACAATCCGGGGGAATTCACATGTTAGCTATAAAATATACAAATTTAAGCGCATAACTATCTTTAATATTTTATCAATTAAATAAACTTGGACTTATAGCTCTGTGAATCACTAACACTTTTTTTCTATTTACTATTTAGGAAACAGGAATTCTGGAGCCAAACTGTTTCGTTCGAGTAGATAAAGATGGTTTTTTATATACTGGCAAAGTGAAAACAATGTAAGGTTAATAATGTCTATAGAGTGTCGGTTTTATTCTAATTAATACTAAATAACTAAGGATATATGGTTAGTTTTACTAAGATTTTTATGATTACATATGTATTCAAACATGTAATATTTCCCAAACGCGAAAGGTAAGAAAACGTGTACGACGAAACGAATCGTTTCCTGTCATCTATTTTTATCCTTTTGTTTGGGTAATCGAGTTGAATGGTAAAGAGTCATACATTTGTTTATTAGAAGGAACTTGAAAAGTCGCTCTTTGACTGTTTAGATATAATGAAATTGTATTAAAATTAAAATACAGAAATCATTTGAAAATTTGTCGCCAAATAAATAGTTTATGAAATGGAAATCTTGACATTTAAGTGAAGTTTGAAAAAAAAACTGCCGGTATGAAAAATTATAAAGTGATAATTATGGTAATTGAGTGTAATAATAATAATAATAATTCAACAAGGTAATAGAAATAAATTGTGTCATAGTTTATTGGGTACTCTTGGTCATTTTAAAACAACAAAAATAACTGTAGAAAGGTAAATGAATATTTAGGGAGGCGCGAACCATGATTTTGTATTCGTCTATGGAGTCATTGACTACTGAGTTGGACCATGTTGGTAGATGTAGACTACTAGGTTTACATCTGCTCGATTATCGTAATCAACGGTTAAAAATGTTGAGTGGAGAAATGATTTAGATACATTCACTCTTTGTCTTTTTACTTAGATCCAGAGTTTTAAAATGATCTTATAATTTTTAATTCACAAATTCAATGTCGATGCTGAATGTTTTGTACTACAAATGATACTGTTATCACTTCTACTACTATTTCATTTGTCTTGAAATGTTTTCATCTTGCTATAACGATGTACTTTGGCAACTCGAATAGGCATACATATGAACCAGGCACTACATTACCTATGACTGACTGACTGATCTATTTCCGACTGTAAACCCTTATGATCTAGACAACATTTAATAGTGACTAAGAAAATGAGGACGCATTAAGATTTAGATAACTGTTTGATAGTAGAAAGGTTTCATAAATTGCCAAAAAAAATGAAATAAAAAAGAAGGATACTGATGAAATTATTTTCATTGTTTGAGTAGAAGGATCTTAACTAATCCTATGTCTCCACCTTTATTATGATATTCGTCCATTTTTTTGAATGACGTATTATAACTAAAAATGTTCTTTGGTAGTTCATTATTTTATTTGTAAAGTTTTTTGAAAACTTTTCTTATTATATTTTTAGTTACTTGTTTGTTAAATTATCAAATCATAGTTGGAAAACTTATGATAAGAGATTAGTTACTGTTTTTTTAAATTTTAAATTAAAACAAAAAGACATCTCAATTGGTTTTTATTTTTTTTACATTTTTAATTCCCATTTATAGGATAGTCAGCAGCTTGAACTCTCTCAAATAAGTGATGTTCGTTCTGGGACAAAACCTAAGGTAACTAAATATATATAATACTAACTGTTATTCTTATTGCATATCTTTGATATTAAAAGTTTTATAGTGAACTTTTTTTACACTTCAAATTGAGGCATGTTAGATTTGAATTCGATGTTCAATAGCAGAAATTTGAATACTTAAAATCCTATTACACTAGGGTTTCATTTACTGAATTGATTCATGTACAATTTATTCACATAAAATTCTCATTATTAGTTCTATATAAAAATGTTATAAAACAGCGAACCACCTTAATTTAATTAAATAGACATTTTATACACTATTATGTTTTATAATGTTTCAATATAATATTAATGTGTAAAGTCATATAGTGAAAATAGATATAAGGTCATAATTTTGAATAAGTGGATTGTGATTGGTAGTGAAATTCATGATGTACGTTTTATCATATTTGACACTCGTCAGTCGAGTGTACGTGCTTCTCAGTGTTGATGTTCACATTAAGGCCCTAACCCATAATATGAACATGTTCCAATAAAGACTGATCAAAATTGAATCATGATCATCCACGGGATAATTCAAAGATCTAACCACAATGGCATGGTGTTATAATATTTAATGAAATATAGATTGTTTGCAATAACCCAAAAAATGTATTGAAAAGTGGTTTTTACGATATTGATTAATAACTATGTGCCTTTAACAGGAAGGTATTTTTGCTGCATTTTCGTATGTACAGTCTTTTCATCATATGATTTTTCTTACAATGGATAAGATGTTGCAGAGTCTTTCTTACATTTTGTTTTTATTCAAACATCCTTTTACCTCATATTTCTAGAGAATAAGCAAAGAGAAAATTGTGAGTGAAGTAAATGATTTATATGTGATAATAATTACACTGACCAGGTTATTCTAGGATTTTAAATGTTTATTCACAGCTTTATTCGTAGTAGACTCAAAGTGATTTCTCACTAAATTTATCAATTAAGATTCTATATAACACAGAATTACTCTGTTCTAAGACGTCCAAAAATCAAGACAGGACGTTATATGTGAAACAGAATTTTTTAAAGTTAATTCTCATAACCATCGGTAAAATAATTTTAACATAAAATTCATGCATATAAAGACTGTATTATTTTTAATTTTTTGATAATTTTCTGTAGACATTAGCCTGTAATCTGTTAGTGTTTCAAGTATTCAAAGAAAGAATCAGAGTCTGAATCAAATAACAGAAGATAAATTTGTGTAAACAGTTTTAAATTTAAGTGGTGTCATGATGCATTAAAAAGTAACCAGACAAGGAAACAATTTAAATGACTTAAACGTATACTAGTGTGATTTGTCATATTTTACAATTAGCGTGATGAAAAAAATCAAAACAAAGGGACAATTACAAAGGATTGACGTGATCAGAACTAGAGAATTAGAAGACAGAAAAATCAAGTATTGGTTACTGATAAATTTCGATTAAATCCTGCTCCGAGCTTACTAACAATTTTGCTCATCAACAATTAGTTTACATGACATAGATTACTGATCTAGCGTGCTCTTCCATCACTGCATCAATTTCAATAGGTAGGGCATTGATGATAAGCGAATAATTTAGAAAAAAAACTACATCATACTACAGAGGTGTCTCCTGTTCAGTACTTAGTTTGTATTGTAATATTTGACAAAGACTGATTTGAAGTTGCGAAAAATAAGTAATATGAAGGGAGTAATATTGCAGAGGTATAACATCCTAATCACTCCAGGATTTAACCCATCAGTTTGTCTAAATTTCATTTGGCTTAATTAAGAAAACTGTAGTGTTTTACATACGTAATACGGGCTGTTAGCAGTTTTAGAAGTCGATGTAATTCCACTGTTTGATCATTATTAGTCCTTATTTAACATATTTCTAGGTCTGTTAACATGTGAATCTGAAATACATTATTTATACTTATTTACGCCTGTTACCTTTCGTAGAGAAGTGTAGGCTTCCCACCAGGATTCTCCAGCGAACTCTTCTGGGCAATCCTATTCATTCTTTTAATGTCTGATTCCAATTCCTGACATAGTGTGTTCCTGAGCTTTCCTCATTCCCGTTTCCCTACAGGATTCCAAGTTAGGGCTTGCCTCACGATGCAGTCTGATGATTTCCGCAATGTATGTCCTATCCACCTCCATCATCTTTTCTTAATTTCCCTTGAGCTGGAAATTGGTTTTTTCTCTCCACAGTAGGATGTTGCTGATGATGTCCGGCCAACGGACACTAAGTATCGTGCGTAGACAATTGTTCATAAATACTTGTACATGTTTGATGATAGTTGTAGTAGTTCTCCAAGTTTCATCACTGTACAGTAGGACTTTCTTGACGTTCGTATTGAAAATTCTGACTTTATTGGTTGACACTTATTTTGAGTTCCATATGTTCTTCAACTGTGGGAATTCTGTCCTTAATTTGCCAATCCTCGACTTTACGTCTTCATCGGATCCTCCTCTTTCATCGATGATGCTGCCTAGGTACATGAAAATTTCCACATCTTTCAGAGCTTCTCCACCAAGTGTGATTGTGTTGGTGTTCTCCGTTTTTTGTCCTCTGAGCTGGATGGTTTGGTCGTGTTCTCGGTGTTTTATTTGGCGATCTTGCTTTTTCCCTTGTGTATGTTGAAGTCCACTGATGCAGAGGCTGCTGCTGATACAGTGTTTGTCTTGACCTGCATTTGTTGATGTCTATGAAATAGAAGGGTTATGTTATCTGCGAAGTCTTAGTCGTACAGTTGCATCTCACCTTCCCATTTTATTTCGCTCTTCCCTTCAGATGTAGAGGTCTTCATAATTCAGTCAACCACCAGAAGAAAGAGAAAGGAGAGTAGGCAGCCTTGTCTGACACCAGTCCTCACCTAAATTGTGTCTGTCAGCTGTCCTCCAAGCACCACTTTGCACTGTAGTCCGTCGTGTGAGTTCCGGATGATTTTGACGATTCCCACAGGTACACCATAGGGTCAAGGAAGTTCCCATAATGTTCTCCTATCCACACTGTTAAACCCCTTCTCATAGTCAAGGAAGTTGATGTATAATGACGAGTTCAACTCACCTGATTGCTCAATGATGATCCGTAGTGTCTTGATTCGGTTTGTGCACGACCGATCCTTACGGAGTTCGGTCTGTTGATCTCGAGGCTTAACGTCTACTGAATCTTTCATCTGGTTTAGCAGCACTCTGTTGACAACTTTTCCTGGTACTGACAGTAGTGTGATTCCTCTGTTGTTCTCACATTTGCTCAGATTTCCTTTCTTTGTTATTTTGATGAGGTGTCCTTCTTCCCAGTCCGTTTGCACTTGTTCTTCCTCCCAAATCTTCCTGAATAGAATGTGGAGCATATTTGCACTTATTTCTATTCCTGACTTCAGTGCTTCGTCTGGTATATTGTCAGGTTCTGCTGCTTTCACACTCTTGGTTTGTATGCTGACCATCCTGATTTCTTCGATTGTTGGTGGAGTGACATCTACAAGAATGTCTGTGTGTGCTGCTTCGATGTTCAGTGGATTCAATGGAGCTGGAACATTCAGGAGTTCCTCACAATACTTTACCTATCCATTCTCCTGTTCTTGAATCTCAGTGATTGAGAGGCCTTGTTTGTCCTTGACCGATCTCTCTGGTTCACTATATTTCCCTGCCAGTTTCTTTGTCGTTTCATATAGCTGTCTAATATTTCTTTCTCTTGCAGCTTTTTCTGCTGTCGTTTCTAGCTCTTCTATGTATATCTGCTTGTCAGCTCTAACGTTCCTCTTCACTTGCTTGTTCGCTTCTGTGTATACAGCTTGTGCCTTGACTTTCTCTGTTCTTGTTTGACTGTTGCTAATTTCTATCTTCTTGTTGTTTCTTTCTTGAATCTTGTGTAGTGTTTCCAAAGAGATCCATTCCTTATGATGATGTTTCTTGCAGCTCGGAACCTCCTGACACGTTGAAGTTGGTGCTTCTTTGATCCGTTTCTAATTTTCCTCCATTGAAGTTTCTTCTTCTGTGAGTAGATCTTGTAAGGCTTGAGACCTGTTGTTGAGAGTTATCTTGAATTGGTTGAGTTTGTCATTATTTCGTGACCGGAGTACAGCAGCATCTCTCGCGAATCTGTCTTTTTCCGTTGAGCTTGAGTCCAATGGGTTTCGCTGATTTTGAGTTCAGTCAGGTTGTATCTCCTCATTCCTGTGGCTATTTGATTGGTCCTTTTGGTTACCCACGTTGTCCGGACATTAATTGTTACTGTGGTTTTTAGAAGGGTAGTCGGCCTTGTGACTTCTGAATAATCTCGGCTTTCATCATGAGGCATCATAATTCTTCTGAACGAAGACTCTTCATCTCAGAGAGCAGAGTTTGAATTTTTTAATTTGTTTAATCTGATGGGTGTTTGTTTAGAAAGATTGTTTTTTACGTGATGGGGCTTTTGACTCCATGCTCGACTCTCTTGCTCTATCCGGCCTTTGGTCTGGCGGTAACCTTAGAAGAGCTCCAGATGGAGTTACAGTGTTTATAAGTGACCTAATAAGTAGTTTTGTGACATACCTTAAAGATATCCTATTATTTGCAGTTTCATTAAACGATTTAAAACGCTTATCTAATACATTATGCATAACATGAGAACTTCAGTCGAACCTTACCCATGAAAAAAGATGATCGATTTTGTCGTACATAATGTTCAAGAAAAATTCCATCTATCGGTGCCCATTATATCTACGTTCTTTGTAATTAGTTTGATTTTTCTGTTGTGAAAAATGCAAATATGGTGACGTTTTTGTGAATTTAAATGAAATATAGATGTCCATTGGCTACTCTTAATAATTACCTGCTGGTTTCTAAGCACTGAGTACTGTTCATTGTATACTAGTAACGTCTTTTTAGTTTGTTAACATTTAGATTCAGGTGATATGTATTTTAATACTATGTATGAGATTAGGTTCTCACTGAGAATTGAATGGGCCTTCTGTGATTAGTGGATTACATGACTGAATTAATATAATTGTCTCTCCTTGAAATCGAGAAACTTAATTCTA